TATCATCCACCTAAGTGACTAGCGTGACCCAGTTGCACGCGTGACTAATTTCAACAGACTTTGTGAATGCTGTTTCTTCTATTGTTCCAGTAATCTAACAATTTGCCTCTTATTGTTGTCCATCACACACACACACCTGCATCATTCTGGTTCTGATTTAAATGATAGCGGTTTTCTCACATTAGGCGTGGATCGTCTTTGTGTCTGTGTGGATTGTGGATTTGGGTAAGAGAGAGAGAATATATCAGTATCATTATCATATCTCAGTCCGTACACATCGTTCACATTGGTAATCTTTATTTCAAGTTGTCCACAAGTCGAGTCATACTAATTTTTTACACTCCCGAAACATGTGAATTTTATGTTGGATTCAGGGAATACAGTGGAGCGACAAAAACGTGAACAGAATACTTCGGTAGCGGATACAGAAAAGCATCTCCCACCATTGTGATAGGCATTCCCGTAGGTAATCGACAATGGATAAAAGAGCTTAATTAATGCTAAGTCACTGATTGAGAAGTAAGAAGTTTCAACTGGGGTCGAGTACTGGGAGTAGACACGGTTTGAAGAAGCTCTTTGTGTAAACAGTGTCCGTAGGATGACAATGTCCTGCAAAACTGATCTCAGATGTCAAAGTGTTTATACAATACAATAAAACCAACAAGGGTGTTAGACCACTGGGCTCATACCTGACTTTTCTCGGTTTGAAGCCTCTCTTTGTAAGAACAACAAGTGGAATGCTCACTTAGTGAAATATTACCTTAGTATCATTCTCCTAAAACAATGTAATATAAGAAGGCAGATTATATTAGTCGTGAGAGCTCCTAAAAGCACGCCAATTAAAAATAGATTTGTCAGAATGTCACGTTTCAATCCTCTAACTTTACGGCTTTTTATTGAACATTTTTGTTGTCCTTCCCTTCCATTTATTGTCTGTTTTCAGACCGAAAGATTTTCGGAAAACCATGACAAAATTTATCTTTATTATACAACAATTTTTGAAACCGAGGCACAGGTAAGTATTGACAATCAGGTATATGTAATCACTGTTTTACCGCAAGTGTCAGTTATCTGACCTATGCAGTTCGCCACTTCAAGTCCCGGGGCTTAGGTTACCGGTGGCCATGATTGTTCACCCCGTCTGCTGTTCACCACGCAAATGTGGGTAATAAAAAGATCTATCGATCCATTTGTGATACATATCTGATTCCTATCAATAAACGTTGCTCAAACGATAGCTGTGTTCAGCTGCGGTGTTTACGAGTATTGAATATTTTTTTTTGTTTTTTGAACAATTAAAATGACCGCGCTCCCTCAATAAGCATCTGTTCCTTCAACGACGCCAACAACGATTCAGATTAGCAAAACAAACGTAATTTCTGCACATATATCTTCGTTTTTCCAAAAGGCATCCACCTCAAAAGACTCTTAGTTTACTGGTACCAACATTTGCTACTTAGATTGGAGACCTAGTGATCAATCTAATTAGTGGGTAATATGACTATTGTAGCTAGTGGAAGAGATTTATGGCGTATCTTATAGAAGTAGCATCTATGAGCTGGTAGAATCTCACGCTCCTGGGGCACTGTGCACCTCTTTGAACTCCATCACTTGCCCACCTCTCTTCTGTAGGTCCAAGGTAGACAGAAGTAGGTTGAGGGTAACCAAAACCTGAAAGCTCAAAAAATGGCATGTGAAGATAGCTGCTTATAAGGCGGTAGAAGAGATCTAATGACTGATCCAATGACCATAAAGGAAATCTGTCAAATCAGCACGGATATATGAATCCCTGGGTGGAACCCACACTAGTTGTCGCGAATGAGTTCTTTGTAAACCACCGGCAGTCGTGCACGCATACTGCTGCTGTGTCGTTTGCACCTGATTGTTCAAAGGCTAGAAATTTGCCCTCTAGATAAAAGAAATCAAGTGACCCCGGGAGCATCCCTTGTACGAAACTTCATGGGCAGTCATTAAGCCGAATTAGCCTCCCAATGGAACCAACAGTAATACAATGATGGAGGTAAACAGTGATGCTGGTGCCTCTAGTTCATTTACTTTCTTTATCTTTGTATTGCTATGCTCTCATCCTGTTAACTCTCAATCACTGCTTCCTTCATGGGTCGGTTAAATTGTTTGGCGGAGGACAGTAACCATAACCGGCGCATGACAGTGTCAGTTTGATTGTTGAGAGAACTGAAACTCATCAGCTTTAAAGTGGAATCGGTCCAAACATGCAGTTTTCACCTTTGTTCAACATTTATTTCCGTTAATGCTTTCCCGCCATCTGTTTTACGACCCCATTCTAACCACTCAGATTCAAAACAATCTGTTTCAATACCTAGCCTAAAAATTTGACCGTACGTTTTTGTATGGTTAATGAATTATGGATTCGTCCGGCTTGGTTGGTCTGTTACTTTTTTTTCATAGTTTATGTTAAATGTCCGCAGTTTAGACATTGGCATACAATCAATCGCTGAAAAATTACCCTTCGGGTGCGTAGAGCTTATCCTGACTTATTGTATTATATTATACTTCACACTTGTCTGAGGACAGACTGTGTGCCAAGAAAATCATGGTACAATAATCTTTATAAAAAAGAAAATGTTCCATGAATGGCTTGTGGGTTGAATACTGCCAGGTTGCCCAGGCCAGGACAGGTGAATCTTCTTGAGGAATTCACTACCGGAGAATTCGGCTAGCCAAAGCCTGACCCGCAAGGCAGCGGTGAAGTGTGGGAGAACCGCAGTCCATTGGGAGCCGGTGTCCAGTTCATCGGATCATACGCCCTTCGAACGGGGTCAGACGTCCAAGGTGCCCAATACACCTCAATGCCCAATCGAGTCGGTGATCACTGCCACAACCGAAAAGGTGTGGATGTGATTCGTACGCCTCCTTTTGGTTTATTTGGAATCAGAGTTTGTAGCCAACTCCCCTAAGTGAACTACCAGTGGTCCACCAACCCGGTTATAGCCCCGGATGTTGGCTTTTCATCCTCTCACTTTGGTGGTAAAACACCGCCACGAGAAGGCAGTGAGTAGGGCTTCCTCAGCAGAGGCTGTTTGAGACGCTTGGTTGTATGGGAGCATTTCGTGAGGTGCAAGGAAATGGTGACCAGCCGTAACCCTAGACACCCACCCCCGTCCATACTGCAATTTTTCCGCATCTAAATTTCATTCTTCCTTCTTTACTCCACTTACCATCTCTATTTGCATCCGCTTCTTGGTTTAAGTGATTGGGACTGCGATCTCCCCCGGGTGTTTTACGATGCCTTGTTCGAATTTCATCTGATGCTGTCTATCAATCCGGAACTTACATTGGAAAGTATCACTGCTGACTGTTCAACCGAAGATTCCAAGCAGGGTACTACTGACCAACCGTGTCGCGGTGATGATCATCATTCCCTCTACTCCGAACAGTTGACTGGCCCCATATTCGTTCGAATTCTACTCATTGCTCTGCTGACCACTAACATGTTCGGTATTGAAAAGTTCGCTCGAAAGCTTGCGGATTCAGAAAACCCACAGAAAGAAGATGAAAAGGATGGTTTGGTTCAGACGAGCAGAACGAAGACAAGTGAAGTGGAAGACGGACAAAGTTTTGCGGAAGACCAGGTAGCGCTACCTTATACTGCCGTGTAGCACTGTTTTATTCTCAATCGTCTTTTTCTTTTCCTGCAGCTACGAACTTGGAATGTAGATTTCCTTTCAGCAGTAACTACCAATCAATTCATTTTAGTTCAGTTGACACAACTATTCACTCCATACTTTCACGCAGCGCTTCAGGTTATTACGCAGTGGTCTGAAGGACTCTAGGAAATAATTGGTGAGCTACTGGTAGTAGTATCAAGGCGAAGATACCGCATACAGTGCTAGCAAACTGAGTACATGCTTGAGTACCACTGTTTACTAAACTCAGTCATATCCCTAAGGGTCTCTGAGCCTCCATGCAACCGATCCCGAGGTTCCCGGCCGGGAAGCATAACTTGTCCTAGTACAGTCAATCTGCTATGTCGCACCCCTCGGGAATTCGAAAAAGTGGGTAAGTTTCAAGAACTGCGACATAGCAGGACAAACAGTAGTAGATGGTAATAAGTAGTATAAAAATCGGTTGACAGTTTTGTGACAAAATAAACCGGATCGATGAAAAGTAGATTATTCCCGTTAGTTGTTCCCAATATTTATGATTATAAACTGTTGGTTTATGACGAAATTTAGATCTACTGTCCTGTGTATCCTGTATTTATCGAAGAAATTCAAATCTTTTATAACACCCTCAGCTTAATATCGGTACATTGCATGCGATATTCAGCCCTTTTCAGTTCTGTGTCTAGTTATCCCGAAACTACCTAACTTTCTTCAGGGTAACTTTTTCTGACCCAATTATTCCATATTCCAGATATTCCTTCATTCCGTTGCAACGATGCTCTCCATCATTGGGAACTCTCCGTGCTTTTCCCTCATAGCGGTAAACCAAGCCAAAGTTGCCTCATTCACTGCCTTGAAATTTTCGTTGGTTTTCAGGTGGCATCTTTCCTCAGATGCTCTAGCGTTCAAAAATTCCCCGATAGTCATTCGATGGGATACAACATTGTAGACAGTTTTTCTTGAAATTCCAAGTGACTTAACCACGGAGCTCTGAGTCGCACCTGGCTGTTTCAGTATTTCCAACACATTCTGCTTCTCTCTGATTGATAGGCGCTCGCACATTTTGACGTTAAATGATGCTGTCTCCGATCACTTGCATCAGTGTGACCTCGAAAAGATTATCCAGTCAGTGAACAGTGCCATGAACGCTTCACTAGGTGCAACACCATTGGTTTAGTGCGACATTTCAGAGTGGGGGGTCAATGGTCGGCCCGAACATCGGTCAACGACCAAATGGACACTTATCAGGAACTGCGGCATATTGGGGTGTGTGACGTCGCATAGTCAGAAACTACGTTATTAGGCGTACGATTGGTTTGGGTTTTCGAAAAGTGGGAAGATATTGGAAAATGCGGATTCTCAGGAATGCGACATAGCAGGAGATTGACTGTACTCTGATTGAGGCTTTTAATCATTTCAACCGATGGAGGTCGATCACTTGCTCTTTCAGTTGTGCGTCTAACCTCGGAGTTGCATCTCTCATTGCGTCACCAAACTCGAACATTGCGGCCTTAACACCAGTGTTCGAATACCAATCATCTCTCAGTCCTGTTCCCCGTAACATCCATATCTCTGCACTATACAGGAAAACTACCGGATTGTCTTCAACCCTTCATGGAAACCGCTTTTCGCAGCGGTGCCGATACATCCTCGACCCAATCTACAACCGTGATCCTTCCGTTTATCTGGGGTTGCATGCGGTCAGTCTAGGCACCTTTGTGATTCGTCCAAAGGTCCTGCTTGAGCGTTAAAGTCGCTGGTGACTACTCTAATCCTTGTTAACTAATCGATAAAAGTTATCCGTCCTCATGCATGTTTTACCCATCTATCTTATCCGTAGTCAAAGTGTCATGGGAAGAAATCGTTTCGCGATTTCGGCGTATTGGCTTTTCTAGTTGTATTTTAGCACAACTGCTAATGTTTGTTCCACCAGATTTAGTTTTTGGCGTAATTCGTGCTACTTCGTTTGACCAAAACCGGTCAAAAATGATCGGTTTACTGCTTAGCGATTCTTGGTTATGAAGGAATATAAATTGAAGTCACACAAGCTCACGTTTATTTTTTTCGTGTTCGCTGTCGTTAACATGTTCATCTGCACCACATACAGCTCGTTTGTCGCCATATCTGGTTCCATTGCCTGTGTAGTTGCGTTGTCCGGTTCGGTTCGGCTTGTATAAAATCCATTATATTTTCCAACCTTCACATTTCAATTGATCAGACTAAGAAGGACGACCACACCGAGTGTACAACCCGGGTGCCATCCCTGACTGAAGCGAAGGATAAGCATGGTGGATTGATCGAACCCCACGGTCCCTTATCTTTTCTCCTCCAGTTGAGTCAAATCTTCATGGATCACGTATCGCGTCAGTTGGTTGACGTATTACATGCCCAGCCAGTCGCAGATCACCTCACCTCAGCGAGGCGTGCGAAGGACCGGAGGATCAACGCCCGAATGCATTCAAGTAAATATCAGTTAACTGACGTGGTGCATGTACGAATTTCAGATCTAGGTTTCGGTTTCGGTTGTTGCAGATTTCGGTGATTTGTATCAAGCTTGGATTAGCCCATTCGATTGTTCAGAGGCACCAGGCACTCTTAATGGTTCTCGGTGTGGGTTTCACTCCTTGGGAGTTCGTTAATTCCCCACTGTTTGTGTGCATTTAAATGCGATGGAAAGAGCGGTTCGAGTCCTGACAGGGACACAAAAAGTATACACTGCTGACGAGTCCCAAACAAGACGAAACAGCTGTCCAGTGCTCTTTGTTAGTGTCTAACCTCTTGTTTCCAGGAGCGTAATCACCTCTTAGTTCTTCCATTTTTATATTATACCAATTCTAGGATTGTTATCAATCCGACCTCAAGACGTAAACAAGACCAACTGATCTGATCACTTGTAAGTCGATCCGGTTGTCATTTCGAATATTGGGCGCCATTTTGTTCTCACACCAGTATAATCCTATCTAGTCGGGAACGCAATTTAGGTGTGATGTAATGTGTGCACTTGGGTCAATTGAAAAAGACTGGAAAGCAAATGCCGTACAACTAACTGTTTTGACATTCGTTGATCTCATCAGCAATGTCCGAATCCCTCGATCTAGATGAGGATCGCTAACCCAGGACAGGTGAAACATCCGAGCACGCTACCCACTCGACTGCTGGGCGGTTGATGATCAGCCCATTTTTCACTTTATACTATTATGGCAAAACGTGTCTTTGCAAGCTCCGTGCACCCACACATTGTTCATTTTAAGACTTGCCTCCAGGGTTACGATTCTGTCAGAAACCTTCCACACCCAGTTGCGTGTTCTATTTAATTCAGTCTACCAATGAGGAAGTGTAGAAGAGATGTCCATCACGACGAGACTGCACCTTGACGTGGTGTGCTGGCTTGCGCGCCTCAGTGACCCTGCTAGCTACACAGGATGGTTTTTCACAGGCGTAGATCCAATCATGCCTGAAAGGTCAACGCGTAGAGGCCAGACAAAGCTCGGTCTCACAAAGCCAGCTGCTTGGGCACCCCTGGCTTCTTTTTTCCATCCACACTCCCCCCTGGAGAGGTCACTCCAGTAAAAACACACGGTGAGGGGCTGTTTACCGGTCAAACCCCCCCCCGCTAGATGGACGTAGGAGCGGGATACCTGGGTCTTCCTCTCGACGGTGGGAGAAGTCTTCACACTTCATTGGACAGCTACCGCCCGCCCAAGCTAGGCTGCTCCCAGCTAATAAGGTGCTGTCCCGTCCACGTTCCGCTTGTCTCATTGGGTGCATGAGGCTGAGGGCT